CAATAGATCTTGACCAATTAAACAATTTTACCCCGTCACATTTGCTCTAAAAGATTTTGTTTTTGAGATATAAGCCAAAAACTGTATTTGACCCTTATGTTCTATTTTTAGCCATGGCAGCCATGTTTGTCGATGGATACAAACTTCGGATACAATTTATAAACAAGATACCCTAAGGAACATTTTAAAGTTTGAAGGTAATTGGCCCAGTAGTTTCAGAGGAGAAGATTTTTTAAATGTTAGCAAACTTGGATGAACAAATTGTGTAAAATTGTCTTTAAAGGGCAATAACTCCTTAAGGGGTCAATTGACAATTTTGGTCATTTTAACTTTTTTGTAGATCTTACTTTGCTGAACATTATTGCTGCTTACAGTTTCTATATATCTATAATAATATTCAAAATAATAACAAAAAACTGCAAAATTTTGTTATAACTACCAATTCGGTGGCAGCAACCCAACAATGGGTTGTTCGATTCGTCTGAAAATTTCAGAGCTGATAGATCTTGACCAATTAAACAATTTTACCCCGTCACATTTGCTCTAAAAGCTTTAGTTTTTGAGATATAAGCCAAAAACTGCATATGACCCCTATGTTCTATTTTTAGCCATGGCGGCCATGTTTGTCGCTGGATCAAAACTTCGGATACAATTTATAAACTAGATACCCTAAGGAACATTTAGTTAAAGTTGAAGGTAATTGGCCCAGTAGTTTCAGAGGAGAAGATTTTTTAAATAGTTTACGACGACAGACGACGGCAGATGCCAAGTGATGGCATAAGCTCACATGGGGCCCTTTGGGCCCCGGTGAGCTAAAAAGTTACAACACTTTTTATGAACTGGTTTAACCAAAAGAAGATTAATCAGATTTAAAATCATATGTCTTGGCAAAATAAAAAAAAATTGGATTTTTAAATGTTTTACATAAGAAGCTGTCAGTCGTTTTCATACATGTGTAATTGTTAAAAAATGGAATTTCATAGTTATAAACAGTTCATTGAACAAGAGCTAGTTAAATTTTGCAATACCTACACTACTGTTAATAAATACCATTGGCAGTAATAATTAATTGGTTGATACAGTCATGTCAATATAAAAATAAGGAGATGTGGTATGATTGTCAAAGAGACAACTATCCACCAAAGTTCAAATAAAGTGGATGCAAGCAATTAGACAACCGTAGGGCCTTCAACAATGAGAAAAACCCATATGTATAGTCGGCCATAAAAGGCTCCGACATGAAATATATGAAACAATTCAATTGAGAAAACTAACAGCCTTATTCAAAACAAAACAATTTACGAAAAAACAATTATGACAGACATGAACCAATGACAACCACTAAAACTACGGGCTCCTGACTTGGGACAGGCACATAATGTGGCGGGGTTAAACATGTTTGTGAGCGCTCAAGAGTGTTTGATCAATATATTGAAGAATGGAAAACCATTACATGTATTATTCATCCTCTTCCAGGCGGGTTAATGGGTGGAACAAAATGAGATCTTATATTTTTTAACAAGATTATGTTGTTGAAACCTTTGTACACTGTTGATGTCTTTTAGTAATAAAAGTGCTTTTTCTTATTTTTTATGTGAGTGGCATGGCCACTTATTGGGCTGGAAACTGGGAGGTTCAAAATGTATGAAAATTTGAGACCGGAAGTTGGAAGAGAGATGTTTCTTTTATAAATATTGTTTTAATATATTATTGAAGATGAAAATCATGTTATTTAACATTGTCATGTTTATAATGATCTTAGATCAATTCCTTTTACTGAATCTCTTAAAACTGATGAAAAAAAAGTAAAATCACAAAAATACTGAACTCCGAGGAAAATTCAATCGGAAAGTCCCTAATCACATGGCAAAATCAAATGACAAAACACATCAAACGAATGGACAACAACTGTCATATTCCTGACTTGGTACAGGCATTTTCAAATGTAGAAAATGGTGGATTGAACCTGGTTTTATAGCGCTAAACCTCTCACTTGTACGACAGTCTTATCAAACAGACTGAAAGTTTTAATGTTAACAGACTGTCATAAGAAGGTATTTTTATTCCCGGATCAAGATATTTTTAGATTATGCGCCAAAACCAGCAATGTTACATATAGAATCGTTCTTGTATTTGTTTTAGTCTTCCAAAGGGATAGAAAAGATTAATTGATTGATAAGTTCAAGCATAAATTTATAATTGCAATCCCATGATTAACCATATTCCATAAGAATTTTGACATCATTAGAAAAAATTGGTTTCATTTTATAGGAAATTTTATCAAACTGAAAAAACTTTTGCTCTGCATCATTGGCAGTCTGTTTGCTTCAAACTTGACTGTATTTCATAGTATAAAATCCATCCTTTATTCAAAATTAGCAATTTTTAGAAGGCATGCACAAAATCACCATACATTTGAAGACCTGTCAAAATAGGGGTTTCCTAAATTTTGGACACACATTTCATAAAATCTTAAGCGTGAAATCATTGAGAAGATTTCATGTAATTAAAGTATGTCATGAATTTGTTCACAATTTATTATCTGATTATTGGTTTTATGAGTTTACCAAAGTGAAGCCAAAAGTCTTTGGTGCGCAGATACAACAGACTGCACTGTACTAGGCAAATAGTTCCTATAGTTTGACAGAAAACTGAACCATTAACAATGATTAATCTTTCACTATTTTAAAGCATATCAAAAAGTTACTATTCAATAAATTAAAGATTATCCTTTCTTTGTCCCTAATGTATGGATATACAATGTATTAATATTAATGACATACACACATGTATTATCAATTTTATTAAAAAGTTGACTTGATTGAGCTTATATACATTTTGTTTGTGTACCAGAGTTTTTTTTTATATATCTTTATTTCTGAAAAGATTTTTTTAATGGTCCTTGGAAAGTGCGTTTGTTAGATCAATAGTAGCAACTTTTGATAAGCGACTTTTCCAGAAAAAGATAATTTCTTCCTCTGAAAAACAGCATCTTCCAAGGGATAAAAATCATAAACATATTCATTTGCACTTAATAATTTGAAATATTTTTCATTGAATCCCCCAAAAATATATTTTGTGTAGTATATTTATAGGATCCCATAATTTGGGTGATTGTCCCCAACCTGTAAAATAAATGTTTAACAGGTTGGGGAAGACCCTCATAAATGGGTACTACATGTGTATCTTATGGGTATTAACATCAATCTCATAGAACCTGAGTTTACCTACAGACTGGGAGAAACTCAAATGACCCAATCAAAACCTTCATATTGGAGTCGACTAGGCAACTCAAAATCAAGGACAAGTGAGCAACAAGAACTTTGCCAGGAAACCATTAACCAACTCATGGGAGATTGCGCACAAGAACAAGCAATATCGTTCACAGATGGATCATGCTTAGGGAACCCAGGACCCTGTGGAGCAGGAGCAATTATTTATGCTGAACACATTAAACCTGCTGCAAGACTACACAGACCTGTGGCACAAAGAGGATCCATCCTCCTGGCGGAACTCATAGCGATTCTCATGGTCCTTGAATACTGCATTACAGAAAATATGTACAACACAATACAAAAAATAAAAATTTTCTCTGACAGTCAAAGCGCCGTGGGATTACTAACACTGAACTGGGCCCCAAATAGCTACATCTCCGTAATAAGAGAAATAAAAGAAAACATTGAGCATCTTAGGCAAAAAGGACTAAATGTAATCATATCATGGACACCAGGACATGCCAATATAGCTGGCAATGACGAGGCTGACATCCTTGCAAAAACAGCAGCACAGGAAGCAAAAGAACTACCACCGGAAAATAACGTCATAACACTACAGGACGTCAAACAGGCAGCCTATAAAAGTACAGGAGAAAAATGGCAGAGAAGATGGGAAATATCTGAGAGAGGCAGGGACCTTTACGAAAAAATAACAACTACGAAACACTCAATTATGTATGATTTTCCCACTAAAAGACATTTCAGTATATTCGCCCAACTAAGAACTGGCTATACAGAACTCAACTACTACAAGAACCGAGTAGGCCAAACCAACGGCATAGAATCATGGAACTGTGGAGCACCTGAAACACCTCACCATTTCCTTCTGGAGTGTCCCTGCTATGAGAAAGAACGAGCAGATATGTTACAACAAATATCCAAAGAGGTCGGGATCAGAAACCTGAATTTAGCTACTATGCTAACGAGACTAGACGGCGAGAACACCGAAGAGACAAAAGCCAAACTACAAACAGTGGCACATTACATTGACAGAACAGGCAGATTTGATAATGCTTTTCCTCAATCCCAATCTTAACCAGCGCATACTAAAGCACAGAGAAGAAAATACGCCGAGAAAAACGCACCAAAGAGAAAACCTGCACATTGGGAAAATTCGTGCCAACAGGCCTTAAGATTGAGGATTGAGGATATTATACCCAAAATCAGGTATCAATTTACAGTGATACAAAATCAAATTTTTTATTTCATCCTAATAGCTGTTGGTTCAAATATTCATATAAATGGCAACATTTTCCCCTTTAAGACCACAGTTCAAATGAGAACTGAATATTATACAATGATAATTTCCTCCAAAAATCCTTCTTTTTGAAGGCTGTTAACTTTTATCCTGATATTTCAGTCATGGTGTCTTTAGGCAAAATGTTGTCCTTTAACTGAATGTTTGCACCATGACAGAATATATCTGTAAATCCAAAGTTTATATTTTTATCACTGAAAATTGATACCTGTTATGGCATATAATACCCTAATCCCTTTTGAGTTTCTGAGTCCGGAGTGATTTTCAGAGGTGGCCAAATCAGAAAATCTCTCGGACTCAGAATACCAAAAGGGATTAATAATACCCATAAATGAGGATAGTACCCAAAATTTTATGAGGATCCTCCCCATCCTGATTAATGATCCTTAGTTTTAAATATATAATATGGCAAATAAGTCCTCTCGATTTTCATCTAAAATATAATTAGTATATGCAAATGTATGCACCTTTGAAGAGTTGTACTGTCCTTGCCAACGTAACTGAATATTTAGCTTGGTTCGCCGCAGATATCGCCATATTGGTTTGACGTGGAATACCGACTGATATAAAATGAGCAGGAATATGCAAGTTAAGACGAGTTCTTGGGAAAATAGATATTTGCGTATATATCTGCTGACAACAGCCGTTAGCGTCATTTCGTTTCTTAATTCATTGCAAGTGAAATGATTTCAACACCTTGAAATTTCAAGTTTAGATTTGGCGAAGAAAAAAAAATCAACAAACTAGACCCATTTTGGAAATTGCATGATGGGAAGACTCTTTTGGGGACTGTCTAAAATACCGGTTCCAATTTCGTACCTATGTCCAGTTTTGCAGAAGTTGTGATGTTGCTTTTTCGGCATCCGAAAAGACATTCAGCATTATGAATTTGCGAAGGAAAATGAATAATATGATAATGTGAAAATTGTAGTGTTTATTCTAAATGGCAAAAAGGGTAATATATAACTGGGTGCAACCAACTACAGAAACCGGAAAGCAGTTTGAACATGTAAAAACACGTCTAGATATGAGGGTAGGATTATGGGGTATCCCATATGACGAATAACGGTAAATTATTTGTTAAAATAACGTTAAAGATACACATTTTACCCCATTTAACGCTAACGGTAGCTACAAAAAGAGATTTGAAAAAATTAATAACGATAAGAAATTAAGGCTCAGTTGACGCTAACGATAGCGAAAAAAACGGACGTTTGACGCTTGAAGATAATTTGATAAAGGACATTCCTACCCTCAGATATTAGTCAACGAATTTCTTACGAGGGCGCTGAATCTTTATAAAAAAAACCAAAACGATACTGTACACAATATAAAAATAATATATGCGCCTAAAAAAGTGTACCGAAAACAACCCCAATATTAAACAAGAGTGCACACTCTGAAATGTCTCGCCTGCTTTGCTGTCGTGACCATTGATTTTATGTTGATAGTCCTAAACATAAGTTTCACTACAAGTATCACATAAATTCAACATGATCCAAAAAAAATGAGTTCAAAGTCAGATAAACCAAGCCAGAAATACATCTGCATCTTATCATTCCATACACCGAATATAGTTGACCTATTGCTTATAGTATACAAGAAACAGACCAAACCATGAAAATGAGGTCAAGGTTAGATGAACCATGCCAGACAGACATGTACACTCCTTCAATAGTTCCATGCATCAAATATAGTATACCTATTGCATATATAATAGTATCTAAGAAACAAACTTAACCAGGAAAACTGAACATTGACCAATGAACCATGAAAATGAGGTCAAGGACAGATGATGACTACCAGACAGACCTATACATCTTACAATAATTCTGTACACCAAATATAGTAGACTTATTGCTTCTACTTTAAGAAAAACAGACCAAAACACAAAAACTTACCTTTGAGCAATAAACCATAAAAATGAGGTCAAGGTCAAATTAAACCTGTCAGACTGGCATGTACATCGTAAAATATTTCCATACACCAAATATAGTTGATCTATTACATATAGTATTTGAAGAACAGACCAAAACACGAAAACTTAACTTTAACCACTGAACCATGAAAATGAGATCAAGGTCAGATGACACCTGCCAGTTCGACATGTACACCTTACAATCATTCCATACACCGAATATAGTAGACGTATGGCTTATAGTATCTGAGATATGGACTTGATCACGAAAACTTAACCTTGTTTACTGATCTAGAAATGAGGTCGAGGTCAAGTGAAAACTGTCTGACAGGCACGAGGACCTTGCAAGGTAAGCACATACCTAATATAGTTATCCTTTTAGTCATAATAAGAAAGAAATCAAGTAGTCCTTGACCATGCAAATGAGGTCAAGGACAATGGACATATGACAGACGGAAAATTCATAACATAAGGCATCTTATGAAGTATAATAGAAACTAGCCACAGTGACAATTCTGATAGTATAATAGAAATTGGCCCCAGTGACAATCAGGATGACACTGAAGTTGAAACAACAATCATACGTGACAGGAAGCGTGCGTTCTCTGGTCAATAGATCCCGGATGATTACATTTGCGCGCATTTATTTTACAGGTAAATACATATAATTTTTTAGAATTCAATATGAAAAATGTATAATTTAAATCAACAAATATTTTCAAATCTAATCATTTATAGTCATAGTTATTATGAAAATTAATTAATTTATAGTCCTATTTATTATGAATAACCTTTATTTTACTGTCTTACCTGTACAATGAATGCGCGCAAAAGTAACCTAAAGCTGCGCGCAAACGTAAAATTTTGTAATCCCCAAATGCGCACAAATGTAATGCGCCAACAGATCCAAGCCGAATATCTAACCAAGAAAACGAAACGGAAATTACCAATTAGGTGCAATTATTTAATCAAGGGAATTTCGGTACCGCATTGGAATAGCTGTAGGAATAATAACAGGGTATTTGTCGAGAAATAAAATTTAAGCTGTTAAAGACACATCTTTATTCTCCGCATTCTTTCGCTACGTGAAGCAGTTAAAAAGCTTTAAAAAAATGGTGGTCAATAGTTTCTTTCATGTAAATGCAAATGGGAGTGAAGCACTTCTAAATGTAAATGTAATAATCAAAATATGTTGTGCAATTCCCGATGCCGTAATTCACTCACATGCTCAAACAAATGATACAGAACTAGTTTTGTATTTTGTAAATAAGGTTTACTCTGGGGTCATTAAATAAAAATTCTATAGTGTGTATCAATTCTTTTTTTAATAACAAAATCCATACTATTATAATTTTTGTACAAGTTATAAGTGAATTTGAGTCAAATTTTGTACAAAATCAAAATACAAATTATAATTTGTACAATTTTTTGTGCGATTTGAACTGATATAAATCTAGAATTTCAGAGTTTACGAAGGTAAAGGAGTTACAACAGAGACTGCTTAGTTATACAATCCAAAAGAATACCACTGCCCGATTAGAACTACACCTTTTCATTGATCCCATATATCTGACAAATATATCATATAAGAAATAATATATTTAATATTAGAGCAGGAAATATGATAATGAAATGATAACACAAATATATATCTTCCAGAAAAAATATACTTGATAGAACAAATAGTCACTATTTATCCTTTGTCAGGAGGGTAGTGAAAATACACGCAACTTTCTGGTGCCAAACAAGAGTCTTGAAAAGATCAGAAAAAGGCATCAGCGAAAGATACAGCAATACCAGAATAGTTTTAGTGAATAGCATACCAGAACATCTGTTTTTATACTTCAATGTCTTTGAGCTGTCATTTGCGTTTACCCTACATCTCATTTTATGCACATATCTAAATTGTATATTATATTTGATACTATGGACGTCGACGTTGGGTCTCCAAAACAACCCACAATCGAAAATCACTCGGGAACGTATCAATCAAAATAAACAGAAACATAGCATTTGTCCATCAATCTAAAAGATGTCTTTGACCATCTCCAAGAAAGGAACAGTGTATAATTTACTTCGTAAACTCAGTTCAATTCAAAGTACACAGTTACATGTGTGAGTGTGAACATTCGAGGTTTAGATATAATGCATGTATCTATAAGTATAGCGGAGCAGGAACCTTACTTCCCCCTAGTTTTTTAAAGGTGCTCAGTTTGCTTTTTCTTTACTTTTCTGTGTTGCATCTGTACTATTTTAATTTTTTAACGTCTGTGTTGTGGCAACGGTCTTTTATATCCTATGTCCTGCAATATTGTTTTCATTTCAATATGTCTGCGTTGTTCTTTTGGTAACGAGCTTGTCTATCCTATGTTCTGAAATACTGTTTTCATTACAAACCTTTATATCTGTCACGTAGACTACTAGAATGTACATGTTTCGATGTAAAAATAAGAAAATTCGGTATAACTCACTGCCAATGAGGCAATTATCCAAAAAAATTAAGAATTGATAAAGGGACAAGGAGGTGAACAATAACACGTCCCGTACCGCCATCGTTTGTTTATAAAGAGGGAGAAGATACCAAGGTGATAAGTTCCACAAAGGCCATCAAGTATATACACCATGGAAAATATATTAATGGGTTATGGTTACTACATGTCCACATACGAATGCAATGATAATGGGTCAGTTTGATTTTTCAATTTGGCCTTAATGTGATGAAAATAGTTCACCTGTTTTATTTTACTAGGGTTCAACTTATTACTTTTGTCAAGCTGAAAACATTGTTATACGAACTCGTTAAGTTTGAAAATTGAACGGTTGTCTACTTTCGGTTTTCTTTTGTTTACATTGCTATGGGAATTTATAATATTTAGAATCAGGAACGGACAGGTTGTGGTTAGCAAACCCGGAAATATTCCGATCGGTAGTTGTAATAATACGGGCCGTCATTCAAACGTTTGAGCAATAAGGGTTAGGTATTCTACAAACACTCATAGGAATAAGATATTTGATATCGTCCAAAGTAAATGGTATAGTCCAATACCTTAGTATAACAGCTGATGCGCTGTCAAAAAAAAAAAGGGTCGCTTAATGAATAGTCAAGACGTCTAGAAGAAGCAAGAAGGTAATTATTTCATTTATAAAAGATTAAATAGATTAAAAAATTAAATTCTGAATAAGAATCTATCTGCGTACCTGAATAAGCTTGCAGGAGGATATTATAAGTGAAACATACGCACCGGGTAATAGGTGCATAGGCGACTGTGCAGTTATAGTGCACAGGTAAACAAGTGCACCAGTAAAGCATAAACCAGAGAGTGCACTGGTTAAGCAGTGCACAGGCGGAACAGACCAGAAAGTGCACAGGATAGCAGTGCATAGGTAGAATACATCAAAGTTGTAATAGTGCACGGGTTAGCACTGGTTTTTGCTTGACACATAAGGACTGTGCAAAGACAACAACACGTCCCACACATTGCTAGTGGAAGACAGAGGCCAAATTAACAAGTTAAAGATAGATATATAAGAAACGGTGCATCTTCCAATATCCAGGGGTAAACTCTGGTACGATACCCATAAGTCACTACACCGAGTACGTGACATAATTTTGGTGGCAGCGGTGGAATATTGGTAAGTGCACTGATTATTGAATAAATATGGATGATTTACAACAGCATACAAGTAAGCTAGAGGAAGAGGTTAAGCAAAGTAGGGAGAAGTTGAGACAAACTCAAAACCCTTGGCTTTTGACACCACAACACTTTACCCCAAAAGAGCAACCTAGAAACCTGTCGGATTCTGGTATTGTTCAGACGAGGCGCACGGATTTCGGCGA